TTAGCAAACTCAACACCCAAAGAACAAATAATCCAATCAAGAAATGGGCAGAGGACATGAACAGACATTTCTGCAAAGAAGACATCCAGATGGCCAACAGACACATGAAAAAGTGCTCCACATCACTCGGCATCAGGGAAATACAAATCAAAACCACAATGAGATACCACCTCACACCAGTCAGAATGGCTAAAATTAACAAGTCAGGAAATGACAGATGCTGGCGAGGATGCGGAGAAAGGGGAACCCTCCTACACTGTTGGTGGGAATGCAAGCTGGTGCAACCACTCTGGAAAACAGCATGGAAGTTCCTCAAAATGTTGAAAATAGAACTCCCCTATGACCCAGCAATTGCCCTGCTGGGTATTTACCCTAAAGATACAAACGTAGTGATCCGAAGGGGCACGTGCACCCGAATGTTTATAGCAGCAATGTCTACAATAGCCAAACTATGGAAAGATCCTAGATGTCCATCAACAGACGAATGGATAAAGAAGAAGTGGTATATATACACAATGGAATACTACGCAGCCATCAAAAGAAATGAAATCTTGCCATTTGCGACGACGTGGATGGAACTAGAGGGTATCACGCTTAGTGAAATAAGTCAATCGGAGAAAGACAACTATCATATGATCTCCCTGATATGAGGGAGAGGAGATGCAACATGGGGGGTTAAGGGGGTAGGAGAAGAGTAAATGAAACAAGATGGGATTGGGAGGGAGACAAACTATAAGTGACTCTTAATCTCACAAAACAAACTGAGGGTTGATGGGGAGGGGGGTTGGGGGGTGTGGGTTATGGACATTGGGGAGGGTATGTGCTATGGTGAGTGCTGTGAAGTGTGTAAACCTGGCGATTCACAAACCTGTACCCCTGGGGATAAAAATATTATTATACGTTTATAAAAAATAAAATTTAAAAAAAAAATGGAAGGGCAAAGAAAACAATCAGATAAAGTAGTCATCATATCTTTTTTACTTCAAGTTATTAATATTCTGTTAATGCAACTTTGATTGATTCCATTACACTAAAAGTTTTGTTTCTGTTTTAAGTTCAGGATACAGAAATGTCATTTCTCATTTGAAGGTATTTTTGTGAACATATTCAAGATGGTTTTGTGATACGGTTACTGAAGTGAACATGTTGGGAAAATATTACCATAGTGTCTTCATTGAGCAGATAAACATTTATTGGTATCACCAACTTTTTGTGAATAGATCTTAGTCTATTTTAAAATCTAAATACACCATTTTGACTGTACTTTGCCATGTAATTATGTAATTATATAGCACAGTTCTCATTGGTCTTTCAGCCAAGGTTTGAATCTAGTCTAAATATAATGAGCTTGAACCTTCAGGGAGTCAGGAAAGTGAACTCTTAATACCCTTGGAAGAGAGTTCCTCACAGGCGTGTTAGAATGTTTATGTGTTGTCTCAACTGAAAACCAGGGAATAGAACTTGAATTGTAATGGTCTACAAATGCTTGACCTCCTCATTTCCTAGAGTTATCACAAGTAAAAATGGTTGAAATAGGTATATTGTTAAAGTGGAGGGTATGTATCCCTCTATTTCTGGATGAATGCATTTGAAAATCAAAACAAAGTTCATGGTAGAAAATGTGTGTGTGTGTGTGTGTGTTACAAACATAAACTTTTTTTTTAAATTGAAAACACTGTGTTTCAGAGGACCAGACAGATCAGCCACAAAGACTTGTTAATAAAGGTGTGGATTTTATAACCAAATCTATCATAATCTTAATAGGAAGGAACATAATGAAATAAAAAGGAATAAAAGATGTAGTGTTAAAAAATTGAATTAATTCCTACCTATGTCCATTCTCATCTATAAACACCCTTTAGTTATTTATATGTTACCTAATCTTTGTTAGTATATGGTTTTTCATCCATAAAATGAAAACAATATTGCCTAATATATCTTCCTCATAAGATTATTAAGAGAATTAAATTATTTTATACTGTGGCATATTAATACATGAATTTTATCTAGTATATATTAGGTACTTTTAAGTGCCAGACATGATACTAATTGCTTTACCTTTCTACCATCTAATACTCAGATCAACCCTGTGAATTAGATAAGAAATGAATATGTGATGCTCAAATATTATGTCACATGAGATTATAGGGCTAGTTAAGTAACAACACTGAGATACAGTCATGCTTCCAATCTGTGCATTTAACTCTTTGCTAAACTACCTCTTCATGTTTAGCTTGAACTATGAGTTAAAGATATGCTCTAGAACTTTTCCTAAACCTTAGGGCCCATATATTAGTACATATAGTAAAGTTCCCCTGAAAAAGTTTTAGAGCATTTATCTCAGATATACGTTAATTAGATATTAGAATAGTCATTCAGCATACTAATTCCTACTTATTTGCTTTGTTCTCTTAGGTGGATAGATTTTGTAGATGTAGTACCTCAAGCCAGGTCATTTTGATATTCGGTTCCTTTCTTGACTGAGACAATCTGCTTCTATTTACTGCAGCCCTTGAATAGCACTGGGATTAAGGGGGGCCATTCCCCTGCACAGTCAAAAAGCCACATATAACTTTATACTCTCCCAAAACTTAACTAATGGCCTACTGTTGACTAGAAGCCTTATCAAAAACACACAGCTGATTAACACATATTTTGTGTATTAAATATATTAATACTGTATTCTTACAACCACATAGGTGAAAGAAAAGAAATGTTAAGAAAGAAAATACATTTACAATACTGCATGTATCTATTGAAAAAAATCCATGGATAAGTGGACTTTTGCAGTTCAAATCCGTGCTGTTCAAGGGTCAACTGTATTTCTAATAATTATAGATAATATTCATAAAGCACTTTGTGCCAATTACTTAATCTGCTTTATCTCTCTGTTCTCATCACAACTCTCTTTGAAACCATTTGTATAATCACCAACTTTCAAAGTAGGAAACTAAGACATTGAACATTTAAATGACTTGCATTAGATTACCGAGCCAGTAAGTGTGAAGTTGGGATTCCACCTTAATTCAATAGAATCTTCTTTGAAAAACTTTAAGTTGGAACTGCAAACAACTAATTAAAGTTTTTAAATAAGGGGCGCCTGGGTGGCTCAGCGGGTTAAAGCCTCTGCCTTCGGCTCAGGTCATGATCCCAGGGTCCTGGGATCGAGCCCCACATCGGGCTCTCTGTGAAGCAGGAAGCCTGCTTCCCTTCCTCTCTCTCTGCCTGCCTCTCTGTCTACTTGTGATCTCTGTCTGTCAAATAAATTAAAAAAAAAAAAAGTTTTTAAATAAGTAATTTAGTAGTATTTTCACCACAACAGGGAATTCCATTTTCAGTAGAAGATAAAGAATTACAGTGTTTTTCTTAAAATCATTTTTAAATTTGCTTCTATTTTCATGTCTTGGTTTACACGTAATTAAAGGAAAATTCATCCCAAGGAAAGCACCTGTAGAGATAAGGCACCAGGTTCTCCAGTATGCAATGAGCACAAATTGGTGACCAAACAGCAAAAGCTAAAGGGTAAATGAAGTCTTATTCCCCTCTTAGTTGCTGATATCCAAAGTAAATATAAATACTAAAGGAAAATGTTGAGGACATCTCAAGGATTGAATTATTGACTTCTTTGCCGTTTTGTTAAAGTCTAGTTAATGAGGGCATCTCTAGGTATTATGGTCTTTCTAAAAAAGAAAATTGGCTTTTCCCATTCAATTTGTACATAATGCAACTTTTACACGTCCTTCAGTTCTTATTAAGAAGCTGAAATACTTCAGCAATAACTTTAGGACAGCCTAGCTTCTGATGAAATTTCACGTAGGGAGAAAAAGCATGGGAAACATCCCCATGTAATCTTTTATATCTGTCATTTGCAGTGGGTAAGTGACCCGCCTTGGTTTGACTATCCTCCTGCTGCTTTACTGCACGTCAAGGTTTTGTGGACATGTTGTCTAGGTCAATGGGAGGGTTTTCTTTCTTGTGTATCTATCATTAAAACGTTCCACAAAAACCTACTGCAAAATATTCCTTATCTTTTTGTCAAATATGAAGCAGTGACTAGGACTAGTACTTTATGGAAATTTTTTACACCCTTAATAATCATTTCGAAAATTTAGAGCACGTATAAGCACGTAAAATTTAGAGCAGGCGTATAAGAATAGCTTCATATTTCTGCCTTCTTTTCTTTTATAGGGCCTACTGTATTTGATTCACTTATATCAATTGGAATATCCTCCACATCTTTTATTTCTCTGACCCTCACATTTATGGGCTAGGTTTGTGGCTTGCTGATTTTCAGTTTTGTAGAAAGACCTATGTTTTTCTATCACATAGTGTACAGCACAACTTTGACAGCAGATGAGCAGTTCTCCAAGGGCGCTGAGCCAGGCTGGTTATCTCAGACACTCCAGAGAGGACCCAAGGACGAGCTGCTCACCTCTTCGCTCTTTCAGGCACACTCTGTGCAGCCAACAAGGAAGACTTGCATAAAATTTGTTAGAGACCCGCAGTAATTTGGGAATCTATTGGTTTTGTGATATATCCTTAGATATTTTTCACACATATGTGTTCAATCTTCCCATCTTATAAAATAAAAGAAAAAATTTATCTTCCGTTTTCTTTATATCTGATATTCCCTTCCCCTAGTAGCAGCACTTACTGACCAAATACTTATTTTTATTGCTTTAAATTTGTAGAGAGCCAAGATCCATCTCATGCCAAATATATAATTGTCTTCAATTTTATATCCAATTTCTTATTACTGTGATAAAATACTATTTAAATTAAAATTTATTTTAAAGTGTATATTTAAAGTGTATATATTACATAACACTAATATATTATTACATTATTATGCTTATTTAAATGATTATCCTAAAGGTGTATTGATATTATATCTATACTGTGTTCATAGCTTTGATTAATTGTTCTTAATATTAGAACTATAGCTTAAAGAATTTTTGCTGGGACATTTTCATGTGCTTTTTTTTTTCTTTATATTTTAGGTGTACAAGAATTTCCAGAAAACATTAAGTGTTGTAAGTGTTTAACAATTATTGAAGCCAGTGTCAATCCCATTTCTAAGTGAGTATGAGTGTTTATATTTTACTTGTATTTATGTTTACATTGGATAATAATGTACACAGATAAAGGAACTTCACCTAATAAATGAATTTTAAATGGTTCATTTAAAATTCAATTTAATAGAATGATGAGGAAAATAATCAAAATAGTTTAACAAAAGATGATTAAAAGCACTGCTGAATAGTGATGAAGGCCTAATTGGCACAGAATTGCATTACTTTGAAGTAAACTATGTCATCATTCTTTGGCTCTCAGGCAATATTCCATGAAAGAGCACTGAAAGAAACTGTTATTAGTTATGATCACGGTGGAAAATTAACATCAAGGATCTAATGAAAGTTCAAGAGAGTACAAGAGTTTGAGATATTGATAAGTGCATAAAATAGCTGATCATGTAATTCTAGCTGAAAAATGAATTATGACCAGAAAAAGGGACTATTTGTGTTCAGGGAAGAGCAAAAAGACAGTTCTATGAGGATAACAGAATGGCGACTTGGATGGTAAAGATACTATGATTAGAAATGGGGCATTTGTGGCTTACGATCTGTTAGTAGAGAAATGGCATGGGAAGATGAGACCCAACATGTATCAACCAATGTTGGTAAATTATGGTTATGTCATAGGCATAGTGTGCGCTGTGCAATCAAATAGGTCAAGAAAAAACAGAGTGAATGGCAAAGTCATGAATTTGAAAGTTAAATTCACTTAACAATAGCAGTGAACATAAAACCTGGAAGGACAGCAGCAATATCTTGGAAAGGCTGAAACAAATCAGTGGTATTGGGATGCAGATAATGAGTCTCAGTAAGACTGACATTATAATTATACAAAAACTGACAGTAGGATTTGAGAAAAAACTTAGGTCATCGGTTTATATTAAATTGGGGAGACTGGGAGAAACTGAAGCCCACTGGAAAGGCATCTAATAAGTAGTGTCTTTTAGAAGAACAAAGGAAGTTTATCAAAGGGAGTTTGAAGGGAAATTTTTTCATCAATATAGTTGAGAAGAGGGAGTAATGAGGATAGTTTCTTTAAGGGTCATGAGAAGAGGCTGTAGATGAGACTAGGAACAGATTATAAAAGGAGATAAAAGTTTAGATGGAGATCTTTACAGTGAATTGTTTGTAAAATAACTTATGGCCTTTGGTAGAAAGTGTGGAACATCAAGAAATAAAATGTGTTTGAAAGGGAACAAATTTTCTACCTCAAAAGTAGATTATTGAAGAGAAAAAAAATTGTGAAAAGAATTTTCCAAAACTCTTAATCTAGAATGCAGTCCTCTCAACAAATAGACATCACTAGCTTTTCACATAAAGACCACAGCTATATGCTTGACTTAAGTCATAGTCCAGGACAGATAATGAATTGTTTTTCAAAACTATAGTTTTATTGGCTGTATCTCTGAATTCCTTCCATACATTTGGTTTTTTAAAAGATGAATATGACTTGTTTCATTAAAAAATGTCTGACACTAAGAGGATTAAGTAGTTTGGGAATTCATAAAAAATTACACAAAAGTCAATTTAAGTTGTATACTAATTTTAAAGGTTTTTTAAGATATAATTCATATATAGTAAAATTTACCTTTTACCTATATGGCTTAGTGAATTTTGACAAATGTATACAGTTGTGCACCACAACTATAATAAGATAGAGACTATTTCCATCTCCCCGAAAAGTTCCCTCAGCGCAATCATCCATTTCTCTGATTTCTATGATTTTGTCTTTTCCAAATGTCATATAAATAATATCATACTGTTGTGTCTGACTTCTTTTACTTAACACGGTGATTTTGAGATTTATCCACATTGGTTCAAGAAGTGGTATTACGGGACGCCTGGGTGGCTCAGTTGGTTAAGCAGCTGCCTTCGGCTCAGGTCATGATCCCAGCGTCCTGGGATCGAGTCCCACATCAGGCTCCTTGCTTGGCGGGGAGCCTGCTTCTCCCTCTGTCTCTGCCTGCCATTCTGTCTGCCTGTGCTTGCTCTCTCTCCCTCTCTCTCTGACAAATTAAAAAAAAAAAAAAAAAAAAAAGAAGTGGTATTACATTCCTTTTTATTGCTAGGTAATATTCCATTGTATGGAAATACCATAAGTTATTTATCTATTCATCAATTGATAGACATTTAAGATGTTTGTGTCAGCATATGTTTTCTATTGGGTAGACCCCTAGGAGTGGTATACTGGGTAGTACGGTGTGTATATGTCTAACCTTATAAGAAATTTCCAAACCCTATTCAAAAACAGCTGTCCCATTGTCTTTCCCATCAGCAATTTATTAGAGTTTCTGTTGTTCCTCATCTTTGTCAGAATTTGGTACTATCAGGGGACCTGGGTGGTTCAGTTGGTTCAGGGTCTGCCTTCGACTCAGGTTGTGATCCCGGGGTCCTGAGATTGAGCCCCAAGTCTGGCTCCCTGTTCATTGGGAAGTCTGCTTCTCCTACTCCCTCTGTTGTTCCCCTTGCTTGTGCTCTCTGTCAAATGAATAAATAAAATCTTAAAAAAGAAAAAAAGAATTTGGTGCTATTAGGTTTCTGTTGTTGTTTTCTATTTTTACCCACACTAGCAGATATTGTACCTCACTGTGGCATTTCACTGTGGTTTTAATTTACATCTTTAATATCCAGGTAACATGTTTTCATTTTCATGTATTTATTTACAATTTTTATTGCTTCTTCAGTAAAAGTTCAAGTCTCATTTTCTTTTTTTTTTAATTAATTTATTTATTTTAGAGAGTGTGTACACCCAGAGGGAGGGGCAAAAGAAGAGGGAGGGTCTCAAGCAGACTCCATGCTCAACAAGGAGCCTGACACAGGGCTCATCTCATGCCTCCAAGATCACGACCTGAAAGGGAACAAGACTCAGATGCCTAACCAGCTGCACCACCCAGGTGCCCGCATCTCTTGTTCATTTTTATTATTTTATCTTATTATTATTGAATTATAAGAGTTTTAGGGGTGCCTGGGTGGCTCAGTTGGTTAAGCCTCTGCCTTCAGCTCAGATCATGATCCTGGAGTCCTGGGATCAAGCGAATCGAGCCCCCAACTGGGCTCCCTGATCAGTGGGGGAATCTGCTTCTCCCTTCCCCTCTGTCCCTCCTCCCTGTTTGTGTTCTGTCTCTCACAAATAAATAATCTTAAAAAAAATTCTTTATATATTCTGGCTAAATGTTCTTTATTTGTATGCAAATAATTACTCCTATTCTCTGACTTATCTTCTCATTTTTAAAACAGTGACTTCCAAAAGGAAGATTTTAATTCTGATGAAGAGCTATTCATAAATTATTATATTGGTTTATGCTTCTTCTTCCTGTATAAGTGAGCTTTGCTATCATAGTCTTAAAGATTTTTCTCTGTGCTTTCCTCTGGAACTTAGGCTTTACACTTAGGTCTATGATCTATTTAAAGCTAATTTTTAGAGGTGCCTCAGTGGCTCAGTCTGTTGAGCATCAGGTTCTTGATTTTGGCTCAGATAATGATCTCAGGGTGGTGGGATCAAGCCCTGCATCAGGCTCAGTCCTCAGCCCAGAGTAAACTGGTTCTTCTCCGCCTCTCCCCAGGCTTGTTTGCTAGCTTGTTTATTTGCATATGGTTATCCATTTATTCCACTACCTTTTGTTGAAAAAATTATCCTTTCTTCATAAGATGACCCGAGTACTGTTGTTGTTTTTTTTTTAAAGATTTTATTTATTTATTTGACAGACAGAGATCACAAGTAGGCAGAGAAGCAGGCAGAGAGAGAGGAAGGGAAGCAGGCTCCCTGCCAAGCAGAGAGCTGATGCGGGGCTTGATCCCAGGACCCTGGGATCATGACCTGAGCTGAAGGCAGAGGCTTTAACCCACTGAGCCACCCAGGCGCCGCACCGAGTACTGTTTTTTGTTAATCAATTGATCACATGTGTTTGGATCCATTTCTGAATTGCCCATTTTGTACATTAATCAATATGCCTGTTCTTATATCAGTTCCATACTGTCTACTATTACTATATTACTATAGCTTTATGGTAATTCATACAATCAAGGAGTGTGAGTCCTTGCACTTTATTCTTCTTTATCAAAATTACCTGAGCTATCTATACCTTTTGCTTTTTCATATAAATTTTTTAATCAGCTTTCTAATATCTACAAAAATAACAAATCCTTCTGGAATTTTAGTAGAAATTATATTGAATCTATAAATCAATTTGAGCAGAATTAACATCTCAAAAATATTGAATAGTCCTATTCCTGAGAATAGTATATCTTTATAGTTACTTGGATATTTTAAAATTTCTTTTATCAGGGTGTCTGCGTGGCTCTGTAGGTTAGGCATCTGCCTTCAGCTTGGGTCGTGATCCTGGGGTCCTGGGTTTGAGCCTCAGGTCAGGCTCTCTGTTCCAGCTCTCTGCTTGGTGGGGAGCCTGCTTCTTCCTCTTTCTCTGCCTACTGCTCTGCTTACTTATGATCTCTCTCTCTGTCAACTAAATAAGTAGAAATCTTTAAAAAATAATAATAATAAAAATTTAAAAATAAAATTTCTTTTATCAATGCCTTGTAGACTTCAACATATGAATCTTTTATATGATTCAAATTATTCCAAATATTTCATGTTTTTTGTGCAATTGCAAAAGATTGTTCCATTATTCAATTGTTTATTGTTAGTATATAGAAATATAACCAGTTTTTCTTTATGGACCCTATATTCTGCAATCTCACTAAATTCACTAATTTTAGTAGATTTTTTTTAGATTTGGGGTGATTTCCTATGTAGACTATCATGTCACCTGTGAATGTCGACAGATTTGGGGTGTTGGTTTTTTTTTTATCATTTCAATCTGTGTGTCTTTTATTTATTTCCTTTTCTTTCTTTATTGTCTTGGACAGGACCTCCTGTACAACGCTGAATAGAAGAGGTTAAAAGAGACATTGCCTTTTTCCCAACTTAGGGGGAAAGCACTGAGACTTTCACCATTATGTATGATTGTTACTTGTTGTTTTTTCAGTCATGCCTTTATCAGGTTG